CACACACACACACACACACACACACATACATACACACACACACATCTGTCCCTGACACGGACCTCATGTTCAGCGCCACCTCCCAATGCCTGCAGTGGTCGGAGTTGGACAGAAACTGTTTTCTGAGTTGGATGCAAAAGAACAGCCGTGTGTTTAATACATAAACCGGCATCAGAGCTTTAGCAGGAACTTATCGTATATGTTGGGGGTTCTAGGTTTTAGGGAAATGGCAGGAGCCACAACAATCAACACGCCTTTAGATGATGCGACGGCTCCCCTCCTGGTTTAGCGGCTGGATGAGGGGAGAGGGATGAGAGAAAGCCACACCAGAGGACGGAAAAAGATACAAAGACAGACAGTAGACAGAGACTGCAACACTATACTCCGAGACTCACCATGAGCAAACACACGGCGGATTCTGGCATGAGTTGGACAGCCATGATCCTCTTATGGATTCTCCTGCCGGAGGGACTCTCTTCCTGATCCTCGTCCTCGTTGCTCTTATTCTGAGCCTTCACACAAGGAAGCAGGCTCACCTCCGTCCAGATGCAGTCGGTTGACTGGTCCCACCACCCTGTGTCCCCAAACACCTCCCTGTGTCCCTCAGCGGGTGCTGCAGACAGCCTGTGGTCTCTTAATTGCAATGCAACAGTCCCCGGAGAGCCCGTGACTCCTCAATCTCTCTGCGAGCATAAAAGTAATCCTGCTTCCAGTCCTTTGATCTGAGAGCAAAGCGGACCCCCCACACCACAAACCCCCTCCTCTCACACTCCCTCCTTTTACTTTTAAAACACCCCACGCCCACCTCCCCCAAACCCCTCTGACTAGGGCTCCCTCTTGCTAAATGCTCCCCTCTCTCTGTCGCCCCCCTCCCGCCTCGGTTCCCCGGTCTGCTCTCCTCAGCACAAAGCCCATCCAGTGGTGCTCGTGGGTTCGCGGTCTATCCTCTTTTCTCCTCAGGCTGTCCAGTCGCTGCTCCACAGGATGTAACCAACGAAGCCCTGCCTCCACTTTGGAGGGAAAGACAAAAAAAGCTCACCTCTCCTCTCAAGAGCTCCAGCACGGAGAGATCCCCGCTGGGCTGAGCCTCCGCCTCCTGTATCTTGACGGTGTCAGGAGGGCAGAGGGTGAAGAGGTGGGGGGGGGAAGCAGCCGGGAGGAGAGAGGTGGAGTGGGAAGAGCATCCACCGCCGGTCCACGCTGTCGAGCGTTAACGAGGGTGGGTGGAGGAGAGGGAATGCGGAGAGCGAGAGCAGACCCCGCCTATCGATGCCAGACGTGGAACGTGGGTCCAGACTAGGATTTTTTTTTAGAGGGGCGTTTTTGCATGAATAATTCAGAAAACATTCACAGGGTATAGCTTTTGTCTTGCGCGTGCATAAGGGAGCACGAAGGATATGAAGGTAATTACAGGGGACAGGTATAGGAAATAGTTGAATAATACAACTAATGAAGGCTGTAGCTGCTCATTTCAATCAAGTATCACTAGCTTATATCAAAATATGAAAATAGTATTGTATTTTTGGTGAAGAAGTGTATGGATGTGCACTTTTCTATTAGTTTGTGAACAGCAGTGTGCATCGTGGCCTCAAACATTGCATTTTAAAAAACAGCTGTAGTAGTTGTTGGAATGCATTAAGCATTCCAAGTATTGTTCTTCTATTCTTTATTGTTGGAAGGCATTAAGCATTCCAAGTATTGTTCTTCTATTCTTTATTGTTGGAATGCATTAAGCATTCCAAGTATTGTTCTTCTATTCTTTAGTTCAACTTATTCTATTTCTTCCGTGGCACCTTTCAACTCCTTCACACTTTCAGCTATTAAAACCGTTCAAATATTAAAATGTTCAGCTTCTTTCTGGCTTTAGGGCTATGGCGTTTCAGCTTTCTACCTCTTAAGCTTGAATTTATATAAATCATAATCATTAATATTCTAACATGGTTTTCCAATGGAGATTGTTTTCAAATCCTCTTAAACTTCTTCAACTTTCAGATTTTTCAGCTTCGCAAATCTTTCAGCTACAGACACCATTTGAACTTTCAAATGTTGACACAAGTCTAAACTATTTTATGAAAAAAACTGCTTGTTGATATCTATTGTACTTTATTCATAATCACTGATTATGTTTCACTAGTTCTTCGCTCCGTTTCTGACCTTTACATGAGTGTGTATTGCATCTGCTAGAGTGAGACCCGGAGATCTTAAGTGTGAGGCGGCGTCAGAATCTGGTTAAAAAATATGGAACTTCTGTCCTTACAGCCAAAGTATACACTTTTGATGCTTCATTTCTTCAGATTAATGAGGGCATGGTTGTGCTGATTGGATTAATGTGTTCATAGAATCCCAGAGTTCTTTAGTTCTGGCCTACGGAGACCAACAGTCACACAACCTCTGCTAAAAGCCCCATAGGCTCCAATACAAATCTGCCGACATATTTCTCAAAAATCCAGAAGGTACACGTTTTGTAAACTTCGACAGGAGCCGTATTTTTTACCGGACAGACATAAATAACACCTCCCTGCGTTCGGTAGAGTCTTGGGTCTCGCACAAACAGCGTATTTTTTAGATAGCTGTTATAGTTTTGCGCTGGTTGTCATTTGTTTGAGGTGTGGATTCTGTGTAACTCGCTGTCCTGTGTCTGCCCTTTGCAGCAGCTCGTTAATGAGCCCAGGTGCCTCGTTGCCGTGGTTACTCACACACACGCTGCAGTATCTCTGTCTGTGACTCACAGCTGTTCCTATGACCTGATTAGTGGAGTCACATGACGCAGCTATGCTTTCTATCAACAGACCAATATGATAAAGACACTCCCCCTCCTCCCTGACCTCTTCTCACTGTTAATCACTCACTCAGTCAGTCAGTCTGTCTGTCCAATACTCCTCCCCTCTCCCTCTTTATCTCTTCCTCACCACCCCTCCCTTCCTCACCCTCTCACCCTCCCTCCCTCTATCTACACCCCCCCACCCAATCCAATAAGTGCACCGTTGCCATGGTTACTCGCACACACGCTGCAGTATCTCTGTCTGGGACTCACAGCTGCTCCTATGACCTCATTAGTGGAGTCACATGACGCAGCTATGCTTTCTGTCAACAGACCAATATGATCACTCAGTCTGTCTGTCTTTTTCTCCTCCCCTCTCTCTCCCTCTATCTCTTCCTCACCACCCCTCCCTTCCTCACCCTCTCACCCTCCCTCCCTCTATCTACACCCCCCCCACCCCACCCAGTCCAATAATTACAAAATAAAAGCCCCATGGAGGGAATTCTTACTGTAATGTTTGTGATGAGGCCTATTAATAAAAAACTTCTTAGTTTGAATAACAAACATTTAGTCTCCCAACCCCCCCTCACCCAATTCCATCATTACAAATAAAGCCTCAATGATTATCTGTACCTTTACCATGAAGCTCAGAATGAAGCGGTTTCGTTGAAATACGTATTGAATACGTATTGAAAGAGAAATGCTACTACAACCACTACGAATATTACTAGTACTTCTAGAAGTACTACAACTATCATACTACTAGTATTTCTACTGCTATTAATAATACAACTACTACTAATGTTATTACAAATACTACTATGGCTAATAGTATTAGTATTCCAGCTGTTTCTACTGCTATTGATACTAAACCGACTTCTACTGCTAGTACTACTAATACCACAATTACAACTATAACTACTACTACTAATATTACGACAAACAATTTTAAACCTCTTCATATTCATCTCAGCTTTGGTTATTTTTGTACTTTTTAAAATTCAATTAAGCTCCTGCAACTTCTTTATTTTTAGAAAATCTATTGAAATTCAGCTTCCCCACTTCCTGTATTTTCAGCAATTTTTAAAAATAATTTCTGCTTTTCCTATGCCTCTATTAACAGCAATGTTTTAATATTCATTTCTGTATTTTTTTTTTGCAAGATTTCACATTTATTTCTACTATTTTTATTTCTGCTTTTTCAGCAAATCTATGGAAATTCCTTTCCGCTTCTCTCATTTCTGTATTTTCAGCAATTTCAAATTAATTTCAGCTTTTCTAATATCGGTAATTTCAGCAAATGTATTCAAATTTCCTTCAACTTTCTGTAATTTCAGCTATTTAAAAAAAATCATTTCAGCTTTCAGCTTTTTGCATTCCAACGCAGTTTCAGCAGGAAATGCATTTTCTAGTTGATCACGTAATACATGTTGACAGGTGTGTGTGAGTGATACAATTCAGTGTATAAAAAGCAAAACTAACAAGATCTAATATCATTACTTGATTAAGATTAACGACGGCGTGGCAGTCTCGGCAATGCTTGTTCTCAAACACATATGTGGCAGTTGAGACTTTTGCAACCGATGCAGCGTTTCTTGCCTGGGGCCTTCCTCTCACTGCGGTCAGGAGATCGAAAACCAGTTTCACACGTTTTTAAGTCGTTATGAAGACATCAACAGGAGGAACGGTAACCCAGTTTCTATTTCATATACGCCGTGGCCACAAAAGGAATCCGAACCTCCTTCCGACACCGAGCCGGCCGATAGAAGTTCTTCTGGCTGCTCTCCTCCCTTTTACGAAGCAGCGAACGGAAACTGAAACTCGCAGCAGCTTTGACGCAGCTTTGGTGTGAAGTGACTCCTCAAGCTGCATTGGGCAACTGTCACTGAGAGACGTGAGTAGAAGCCAGCTGTTACGTCTGCACAATGAAGCCCATATTGAAACAGAGACTAACTTGTTTTTCTGTGTTTTGTTTTTTGTCTTTTTTACATGCAAAAGCCGTAAAAAAGTTGTACTGTGGTGACCCACAAGTAACGCTGGAGAGACATTCACCAGGGGACTGTACCTTTAAGGGAAAGTGTTTTGATGTGAGGTTAACGTGCTGTCTGCAGTAGTTCTCACGTGTTGTTCTGTAGTGTTGAAGTGGAGAGTAATGCTGACTCAACGCATCTCCGTCTCCTGTCTCGTCACTTTACACCCTCCACATTTTGGTGACCCCGACGCTTGAACACGGCTGATCATGTCGAACAACGACGGTGGTGAGAATGCTGCTGCTGCGGTGCCGGCCGTTGTTAGTGGTGCGGCTAATGTCGGCGCTATCTACGCAGCCACCATCAAGCTACCGGACTTTTGGCAGCGCAACCCGCGGCCGTGGTTTCAGCACACCGAGGCTCAGTTCCAGCTGAGAGAAATTACGCAGGATGTTACTAAGTATTTCCACGTTGTTTCGGCCTTGGATGCCTCGACGACGGCCAGGGCTATGGCGCTGTTGGAGGCTCCTCCAGCTAACGGAAAGTACGACGCACTCAAAACATTCCTGTTAAAACTCTTTGAACTGTCGGAGCTGGAGAAAGCGGACCGTCTGCTGTCCCTGAATGGACTTGGTGACGGCAAGCCGTCCGAGTTGATGGAGAGGATGCTGGCTGTGCTGGGCGCGGCGGATCCCTCGTTCCTCTTCGCCCACATCTTCCTGCGGCAGCTTCCAGCGCCCGTGCGCACCGCGCTGGCCTGCTCCGCCCTCATTTCCTCCATGGACTATCGGGCGCTGGCGTTGGAGGCAGACAGGATTTTCCTCGCCAACCGGCAGCAGTTTGTCCACGCGCTGCTACCCGCCCAGCACACGTCTGTTTCGCTTCCACCCCTGGAGGACGGCCCGGACACTGCAGCGGCTGTAACGGCCCGCCAACAGCGGGAGGACGGGTGGTGTTATTACCATTCCAGGTTTGGGGCCAAGGCCAAGCAGTGTCGCCAGCCTTGCAGTTTTGGGGCCCAGGGAAAAGCCAGAGCCGGCGCTCATTAGCAGCTATGGGCGCTGGCCGTGACTGCAAGCTGTTATTCGTCGCTGACACCTTGTCCGGCCGGCGGCTGCTGGTCGATTCGGGGGCTCAGCGCAGCATCCTGCCGGCGAAGCCTGTGGACACCATGGCTGGCGGACATGGCCACCCGATGGACGCTGCTAATGGCACCCCCATTCGTACCTACAGCACGATGTATGTGGAGGTGTGTTTCGGCGGGCAGCGTTTCGACTGGGACTTCGTCATGGCCGCCGTGTCTACGCCGCTCCTGGGCGCGGATTTCCTGTGTGCTTACAGACTGTTGGTGGATGTTACAAACTGCCGCCTGATCGACGCCCTGTCTTTTGCTTCATACCCCTGCACGCTGGGGGGGGAGGGGGCGCTTTGTCTGTCGAACACGTTTGCCACAGGGGACCTGTATCACCGCCTGCAGGCTGAATTCCCGGATATCACCACGCCCACGTTTTCATCAGCGGTGGCTAAGCATGGCGTGGAGCACTACATCACCACGATTGGCCCCCCAGTCTATGCACGGGCCCGGCGCCTCGACTCGGCCAAGCTCGCGATTGCCAGGGAGGAATTCGCCACCATGGAGCACCTCGGCATCGTGCGCCGCTCCAACAGCCTGTGGGCATCCCCCCTGCACATGGTGACCAAGGCTGATGGTGGTTGGCGTCCCTGCGGTGATTTCCGTCGCCTGAACAACGCCACCACCCCCGACCGTTACCCAGTGCCGCACATACAAGATTTCTCCGCCCACCTAGCTGGTGCCACAATCTTTTCGAAGGTGGACCTGGTGCGCGGTTACCACCAGGTGCCCGTCCGCCCGCAGGATGTTCCCAAGATGGCAGTCATCACGCCCTTTGGCCTTTTCGAATTCCTGCGGATGCCTTTCGGCCTCAAGGGTGCGGCGCAGACGTTTCAGCGCCTCATGGACTCTGTGCTACGGGACATGCCGTTCCTGTTTGTTTGTGCGCGTCCGCAGACGACCACCTGACGCATCTCCGGCAGCTGTTCGGCCGGCTAAGTGAGCATGGTCTCATCATCAATCCGGCCAAGTGCGAGTTTGGCCAGTCGTCCATCACTTTTCTCGGCCACCACATCACCCCGCAGGGAGCCGTACCCCTCCCATCCAAGGTGGAGGCCGTCGCCGGTTTCCCACGCCCGCGCACTATGAAGTCCCTGCAGGAGTTCCTGGGCATGGTGAATTTCTACAACCGTTTCCTTCCCCATGCGGCTCAACTCATGCGACCCTTGTATGACGCCTTGCGGGGTCGGAGGCCGGCGGACGTGTTGGATTGGTCCGCAGGGATGGCTGCTGCTTTTGACGCTGCCAAAACCGCGCTGGCCAACGCTGCTCTGCTGGCACATCCGTCTCCTACCGCCCCAGTTGCTCTTACTACAAACGCCTCGGATTACGCGGTGGGGGCTGTGTGTGAACAGTGGGTAGGCGGAGCCTGGCAGCCTGGCAGCCGCTGGCCTTTTTCAGCAGGAAGCTCCGTGACAACGAGAGGAAATACAGCGCCTTCGACAAGGAGCTCCTGGGTCTTTTCCTCGCCACCCGTCATTTCCGTTTCCTGTTGGAAGGCCGGCGGTTCACGGCTTTCGTTGACCACAAGCCGTTGACGTTCGCCATGGCCAAGTCTTCGGAGCCATGGTCTGGTCGACAGCAGCGCCAGCTTTCTGCTTTCCCACCCGGGGGGGAGAGCCTCTACCAAGCTGGTGGGGGCTAAATTCGTCTGGCCAGGCCTGCGGAAGGACGTCAGGGTCTGGGCTGCGGCCTTTGTGGCGTGCCAGCGTGCGAAAGTGACTCGTCATACCAGGGCCCCTTTGGCACCTTTCAAAGTGCCTGAGAGGCGTTTTGATCATGTGAACGTGGACCTGCTGGGGCCACTTCCCCCCTCCCGTGGTTACACCTACTTACTCACCATGGTGGACAGGACCACCAGGTGGCCAGAAGTGGTTCCCCTGTCCTCCACTACAGCAGCTGAGGTGGCCCGGGCGTTCGTTATGGCTTGGGTGGCCCGTTTTGGCTCACCGTCCGACCTCTCCTCGGACAGGGGTCCGCAGTTTACATCGGAGCTTTGGACTGCGGTTGCCGAGGTCCTGGGGGTAAAGGTCCACCGTACCACGGCCTATAACCCACAGAGCAACGGACTTTGCGAGCGGTTTCATCGTGACATGAAGGCAGCGCTCAGGGCCAGCCTTATGGGCGCCGACTGGGCTGACCGCCTCCCATGGGTTATGCTTGGCCTTCGCTCCGCCCCCAAGGAAGATCTTCAAGCCTCATCGGCCGAGCTGGTGTACGGCCAGCCGCTGCGCATCCTGGGGGAGTTTCTTCCGGATGCCACGGCCCCATGGTTAGTTGCCTCCCATTCATTCGCCACGATGGCCATCGCGCCCCGCTGCAGCCCCCTTACGATGGGCCCTTCCGTGTCCAGGTGGGAGGGTGTAAGAACTTTGTTGTGGATATGGGGGGTAGGCCTGAGCGGGTAGCTATAGACCGTCTCAAACCTGCTCATGTGGATATTGGCGAACCGCTCCAGCTGGCCCGGCCCCCACGCCGAGGGCGGCCCCCGGCGGCGGTCTCGGCCCCGGCCCCTGCTCCTGCCCTGCCTCCCGCCCTTCGCCCTTCTCCTGTTAAGCGCAGTCGTTATGGCCGCCTGGTCCGCCCCCCTGTGCGTTGACCTTCTTCAGGACTGTATGGGCTGGACTGTTCTGCATTGGCATGTAGTGTCCTATGTTCTCTGTGGGATACCTGTTTGGTCTTGGCCTGTGGTTATGGGTGAATTCTGGGGGGGCCTGTGTGGTGACCCACAAGTAACGCTGGAGAGACATTCACCAGGGGACTGTACCTTTAAGGGAACGTGTTTTGATGTGAGGTTAACGTGCTGTCTGCAGTAGTTCTCACGTGTTGTTCTGTAGTGTTGAAGTGGAGAGTAAAGCTGACTCAACGCATCTCTGTCTCCTGTCTCGTCACTTTACACCCTCCACAGTACAATCATTTGAACATTGTGTATAAAACAGATAGTTAGGCAGTCGTTGAACCACCTGATTTATATTTAGCAGGATTTTCTATCATTCTTTTTTATTTTTAATAGATTTGAGCCTGTTGTACCTGCATCCAGCAGGAGATGACGCTGCCGAGCCACAAGCCCAATGAGCCAGTTGGTGACGAAATCTTGCAGGATTGGAAGGAAATTGGCTCTGGAGGATTTGGTTACGTCTACAAGGCCAAGCACAAGGACTGGGGCTTTGATGTGGCCATTAAGTTACTTCATAGGGGTGTTTGGTAAATGTAGAAATATCTACAATATTCCTGGGACTTTAAATGATATATTGATGAAGTCATGCACATGTTGTATTTCTTATTTCACGGCCTTCTGCTTTCTCTCTACTTATTTCAACAATCCCCTGTCTCATTGCAGCCCCTCTGCGTCGGTGTGGAACGAGGCTGAGGTCATGACTAGGGCCTCCTGTGACTGTGTGCTGCGACTTTATGGAACCTATAAGGGATTTCCGCCTATTGAAAGAGATCCCGTGCAATGGGGACTAGGAGGGGAACCCATGCAAGAGGGACTAGTGATTCATGGAAAGAGGATCTCTTCAGTCCCTGTTTGATAAGCTCTCTGGCCTTGCCATCGTGGCCTCTGGTCTGCTGCTTGGCCCATCAAGTGGCTGTAGGCATGAACCTCCATCAACAGGACCTCATGCATGTAGATCTAAAGCCAAGTAATGTACTGCTGGATGATGATTTTAACGCCAAGGTAGAGTACCCCTTATGTTCAGGTCAACTTTAAGGCTGATTTAACGGTTTGTTTGATATTGCATTGACCTTCGTTCTCTGCAGCTAGCAGACTTTGGTCTGTCCAGAGTGTCCACCAGTCACCAACAGATACCTACAAGTGTAGGTACCTACAAGTACATGCCTCCTGAGGCTTTTAAACCATCGTACCAACCTGTCCGGTCTTTAGACATCTACAGGTTAGACATTACATCCGCAAATGATTTTACTCTATATGGTAAAAACTTTTAACAGCGTTAACATGTTACTGAAGATGTCTTCCTCTCTCTGGATTAGCTACGGTATCCTGCTCTGGTCCATCATCAGTGGCAAAGAGCCTTATCCAAGTAGGTAGTTTTATTGTACCAATACCCCCCATTTAGCTTTTCAATCTCTTATGCTATGAAATACCATGATAGCATTTATTTTCCTCATAATATTCAGCTAAAATAAGCCCCGTATAAACTGTACATGTCTCGTTCCCTCAGTCAGTTATGTTTACACGTGACCCTGTGTCCTTATCGTATTACGCGCAATGTAGGCAATTTTTCCGAGGTTGTGATGTACCAGATCGCTAGGGGGAACAGACCTTCCTTGAAGCAAATTGCCCAAGAAGTGGTGGTCAAAGAAGGGTTGAACGAGCTGGTGGATCTCATGAAGCAGTGCTGGAATCACAGCCCCTCCAAGAGGCCCCTCTATACAAGTAAATGTTCATCACTATCACCATATAATATATTGTCTGAACAATACGCTTAAATCTTTTGAAGGCGAGCTGGACGGATACATTTTTTGATAGTAAATTCTGTTTCAGATTTCCTTAAAACCACTGAGGTGGTGTTTTTACAGAACAAGGATGGAATTCATGATGCGGTCGGTCAAGTTGATCATGTCTTCAGAGGAGTGGTACAACATTTGTTTCAGAAAATGAAATATCGTGCAGATTAATCATGATTCATAATTAGCAAGGAATACCAACTTGTTCATTGATTTCTCTAATAGATTATATTTTCTCTGTTTTTCTTCAGAATGCACCAATCAGTAATCAACTAAGCACGAGAGGGAAAAAAAAAACTTTTATCGAACAGTCAAATGATGAGGTCGATTTCAAAGTACGGTCTCCAATACAGCTGTATATTTTAAATAAATTATGTTTTGATGCAATTGGAAAGTTTATTATCACTGGAATTCTGAAACTACTTTGTGGTATATTAACATTTTTAAAGCAATATTGACTTACAGAGCTTTTTATTTTTAGATCTGGGATCCCATCAAGGTTTCTACTCGAGAAATGAGTTGCCCAGATAAAGGTGAATACTTTTGTCACTGTAGTGATGCAATTTTTTCTCTTTGCGTAAACAAAAAGTTCTGAAATGAGCGTGATATTGACATGTATCATCACAATCAAATGGAGTCTCATTAACAATTATAATGCATTTCATGAGCATGCTTTCTTTCTTTCTTTTGTATTTCAAAACAGTGAAGTTCGTTGACGAGAACAGGCCAAATCTGATTAGAAACTTTACCCACGGCTTCCTCATGGAGAAATGGTCCACGAGGAAGCCCGCGCATCGATGGCTGCTGCAGCAACAAACCACAAAAGGATAAGAGAGCTTTACGACTCGTTACATTCAGGAGGAGACGAGGTCAAAGCAGCCTTCTACGACGCTCTCGCACAGCTTCATCCCAAACTAGTGTAGAGGCCCGGTAGGATTTCCTGCTGTTAAAGTGACGATGAGTTATGAATTCTTAAATCACATTTTTAAATCTCCCTTTCTTTTCAACCAGGCGGCTAATTCTCAAGAAACAGAGCTTTTCTACAGGTATCAAAGACTTTCCTCGTGCCTCATTCTACACTTGAGACAGTATGTATTTCATTAATTTGATTAACGTTATTTATACTTGTTTTTTCTACACTTGATGATGATGCTAGTGTAGTATACATAATTATGGGAGAAATGTTTCATGTCACAGATAATAAGGAGCTATGATGACCAACAATCTAATGAGTTTGGCAGATCAGCCTTCATAGATCATAGGGGGAAAAATTATATAAGAGGGTTGCAGCTTTCCTGATTTTCAATTCAAGATGAAATCATAGGATTTGTGGTGGTGAATATATATCTTGTATGTGTTCTAATTTTCTTTTTTACAGTGTTTATTTTCAGATATTTGATTTTGTGTTTCCTGTTCTCATGTACTATTGTACTATTGTCAGATACAAGACGCTACTCTATATGAACTGTCCCAACCAAACAAACAAATAAAGACCTATTTTACTTTATAAAAACACATTTTCCTAATGGACATATTTTTTCACAATGTATCTTTCCCGGGTGTTATGAAGGACGTGTGGTTAAATTACCATGCCATTATTATTATTATGTAGAGGGGGTGTTCCTTGTTTCCTCCAGTGGGAGACAGACAGGCAGAGAGAGAGAGAGAGAGAGAGAGAGACAGACAGAGAGAGAGAGTGGGTAAGAGGCTTTACTGGTTCAATCCCTCAGTAACTGTCACAAGCAGTCAGTCAGTCACCTGCAGATAATGGTGTTGAGTGCATCCCATCAGCAAAGTTGCTCTCCTGTCTCACTCTGTTGTTCCGGTGAATACTGGGTCACACACTGAACTGAAATAGACAAACATTTGTTTTTTGACTGGTCAAATATAACAGTCATTGTGAGGTGAACCTCAGTCTGAAGATTCAACACCTTTACCTCTTCCTGCGCACACAGACACTTGTATTTGTCTCTGTTTCTGCCCGTCTGCCCTAATAGCATTTGACCTTTGTCTCCTTTACTTCTCTGTCTCCTTGAGCTTTGTCCCACATCTACACTTTGGTAAATCCTCTCAGGGAAAAGTATGTTCAAGTGGGATCCTTCCCTTCCACCGTCCTACTGCCCCGCTCCAGCCCACTCACCCGTCTCACCCCACCCCGCTGTATTAATTCTCCCAATCCTCTTTGTGGGAGAGTGACGTCTGCTACTGTCGGAAACGCTGTTAAGCTCGGCAGGCACTGGGAGAGCGGAGCGTGGAGAGAAGCTACACGGATAACCAAGCGACACAGCTTTCTGGGCCCCCAGGGGAGACGGATCTGTGCCACCTGAGAAAGACCCAGAGCGTCCTCTCCGGTGGCGTCTCATGCCTCCAGCTGGGGGATTGTCGTGGATTTCTAAATTTGGTGTGCCGAGATAGTCGACTACATCAACAGGTTAGCTGGAAACTGTGCGTGGGGAAAAAACTGGCTTCAAACTCCAGAGGTTAGAGCTGACAAACTGGAATGCAAACTCTTAAGACAAACAACACAGTTTAAAACTGTTTGAAAACATTTTTATTTAGTATGTGAGATCAAGTGTGTTTCGGGTTAAACTGCCGCTCCGGCCACAGAACAGATGGCAAGGCGGCTTCCATTTGATGTCAGGTGCGTCTGAAAGGCGTTTGGGTGAAGATGCACTCAAAGTATTGGGTCTTTATTAGGGCTCATAACTGGAGAGCAATTTGTTGCTGTGCGTGAAACCTGCGGGGAGTGTTTGTTGTGTGAGAGTGTGACTTGGTCTGTGTGAATGAAACACATAAGAAGTGCTTGAACAGTGTGTGTGTGTGTGTGTGTGTGTGTGTGTGTGTGTCTTAGCACGGTGGTGGGGCCCTGTCGAGGTCGTGGTACTGGATTTCTTAGAGATGGAGGGTCATGGTTACGACCAGTTTGGAGATGGGGAAAAGGACACTTACCAAATCGACTACCGGCGGATCGTAGGGGACATGGAACCGGCTCGGCAGAGCGCCACAAACAGGGACGGGGAACCGGCTCAACCCTGCGGCCCCTCGGCGCCGCACGGACATGGGCACGAGACTGCAGCCCAGCGATACAGCGCAACGCGCATCCAAGCTGGATATGAACCAGAGAGGTCAGTCCACGCGCCTGCTCACTGCACATGCTGGGAGGTTGCGACCCTTTACAATTAGTATCTCAAGCAGCATTTGCGTTTGCGCTTTTTAGCAGAGGTGGTTGTGTGCAGGGTTGGCCTGTTAAAGGCCAATCCTCTTACCTGCTTGTGTATGGAAAGTATATCCAAAGACAAGACCGGATTGCTTTTGTTAGCACTTCCTGTCTACGCTCCAACATTTGTAATAGGATCTGCAGCATGTGTGTAACAAACAGAGGTCAAGAAACAGACAACATGCACGTCTTCGACAAGGGGTAAACATTTGCAGATTAAAGAAACGTGTATTTGCTTTTGTATAATTATATGTAGGAACAATTTGTATCTTCAGTTAAATATTGTGTGCGTTTTTCTATTTTAGCATGGCAGACTACTTGATCAGTGGAGGCACGGGTTACGTTCCTGAAGATGGATTAACAGCACAACAACTCTTTTCTGTCGGTGATGGACTAACATACAAGTACAATATATGCTAAACACAACTCGAAAACAAACAGCGACTAGCACATGTCATGGTGTAACACGCTTAACACGCCAGCACAGGCGTACATGTATAGAAACACACGTTATGCAATGTCTTCCATTAAATGCGGACACATCTTCTTGGGTTTTTCATACGGAGGATTAAAATGAGTAATTCTACTTTCAAGTATGACTCCGAGTGGGGTCACAGGCATTAAAAGCAGTGTGTGAGAGTTTGTGCACGTATCGGCGTGTTAATGAGTGTCGGTGTAGGCCCCTTAATGGAGGCGATATGCAGCGCGTACCAGAGTGCAGAGGATAAATGGGCTGAAAGGCTGACAGATTATGTCTGCTCACTGTCAGCAAAGTTTAATAAACTGCTGCTTCGCAGGAACATGATTTGCGCTGTACAATTCACAAACACAACCAAAGCTGCTTTATCCTTGTCTATGGTGATTGTTATTGATTATTCGTGTTGATTATTCATGCAGCCATATCTATTGGTCTCAGTTCCAAAATGTGTCTTCTTCCAAAATTTCCCTTCTTAGTGACTTCTTGATCCTCCCTGGTTTCATAGATTTTACTTCTGATGAGGTGGTAAGTACCATTAAACTATTCAACATATCTCAATCCACAAACTGTATACTTTTCGCTGGTTTACATTATATATTTTTAATGTTGTTTGGACAAATATAAACGTCATCATGCAGAAACGTGTCGGACAAGACTCAATGTGTTCTCATTGTGGAGTATGTTGCAGAAAGATGCAAAACTTAAAGAACTGATACCACTTACTGCTTTTAAATCTAAAATGAAGGAAATAGTGAAAGGTCCCTGTCTCTTAAACGTTTAGTTTTGTCTTTGTCTTATTCTGTGTTTTCTGTGTTTCTATGATGCTGTCTTGGCAAACCCTTGAAAAACATATGTTTAATCTCAATGGGACTTTCCTTTTTAAATAAAGGTTTAAGTAAAAAATGAATAGATCATTTACTTGCACAGACTTGTGCATTAACCCTTGTAATTCCTAACTATGTATTATGTTCCATCGAGCACAAGGTTCTTTTGTTTCTCTTGCTTCGTTTTTGTCTTTGCAAGCTCTTCTGGGACATTATATTAATGTCATGCCTGAGTCACGTGGGTTGTTGCTAGATAGCAGGTGTTCAAAACAGACATACACTTGCATCATCCAACACTCAGCAGGTGAAGTCAACCTTTAATTCTGCCCAAACGGGTTGCAGTTTAATTTGATGCAAACTAAAAACCAGCCTTAAGATTTGGTTAAGAAATGTGTTGCTGCTGCAACACTGGGTGGGACGATGTTTGTAGAAAATCATGTCATCAGTATGTCAGATTTAGTGTTAGCATGTATTTTAAGATCAGAAAATTATTTCTGTTTATGCACTCCAATTTTTAGGATCTAACCTCTGCGTTGACAAGGAAGATAACCCTGAAGACACCTCTTATTTCATCTCCCATGGATACAGTCACAGAGTCATTCATGGCCATCTCCATGGCGGTGAGTCAAAGCCCTGCAGCACTTTACACCCACCCACACACACACACACACAAACCACAACAGATTGCTGACTAAGTTTAACGTCATCCTGCTTCAAGTGCACAAGCACACTGATCGCACCTGGATAACTTTTCAGTGTTATCTCATCGATTAATTATTTCCTCTGGTGTCTCTGATTGACTCTCAGTTGATGGGTGGGATTGGAATAATTCATCACAACTGTACTGCTGAGTTCCAGGCCAACGAGGTGCGCAAAGTCAAGGTAAGACGGACCAAGTTCACACCTAAAGTTGACTTAAAAACATCAACGGTGACACTGTATCACCCTCTTTCACAATAACATGGAAACAATATACACAGAATGGCCTCTAATCATTGTACACTTTTTTGTACGTTTCTTTTGTTCGTGCAAGAAATTTGAGCAGGGCTTTATTACAGATCCGGTGGTGATGAGTCCCCGACACACAGTGGGGGACGTGTTTGAGGCAAAGACGCGCCATGGTTTCTCTGGGATCCCCGTAACAGAGACCGGCAGGATGGGCAGCAAGCTGGTCGGCATTGTCACCTCCAGAGACATAGACTTTCTATCTGAGAAGGACCACGACAGACCTCTGGAGGAGGTGGATATATATATATATAGCTATTGTGTTCATGTGTGCATGTATGAGAACACTAAATATACGTATATATAGATATATATGTATATCTATATATCAATCTCACATTCACTACAGTATGGTGTTAAATGAATGGGCGGTATATTAATATACACGCTCTGGACTGTTTTCATTCAGGCAATGACAAAAAGAGAAGATTTAGTTGTTGCACCCTCTGGAGTCACACTAAAAGAGGCTAACAATATTCTGCAACGTAGCAAAAAAGGTAAATCTGTGATGTGTGTCACTCTACGGTAAACACAACTGACCAGAACTTGGACAGACGCCGGCGCCTTTGTCTTTCTTTTAACACGCTTTGACTCTTCTAGGAAAGCTCCCCATAGTGAATGACAGCGATGAGCTGGTCGCCATCATAGCGAGGACTGACTTGAAGAAGAACAGAGATTATCCTCTGGCCTCCAAGGATTCCCGCAAACAGTTGCTGTGCGGAGCTGCAATCGGTACAAGGGAGGACGACAAGTACAGGCTGGACCTTCTCATGCAGGCTGGGGTGGATGCGGTGGTCTTGGTACGTTTCGTCTGGGGGTCAGACTGAGCTTTTGGTTCATTTGCGATTGGATTCCGATGGCATATGACCTGCTAGTCAGTCTGTTGATACAGATGGGATGGACATAGAAGCTTTTGGGGTTTTCTTGATGGTTTTATTAAATTCAGCTTTCCTAAGTCAGCTATCTATTGTTTTTTTGATTAAGAGATACAGTTGTTTCATCTCTTATTGAAACTGTCTTAATTTCAACAGGATTCCTCCCAAGGAAACTCAGTGTACCAAATTAATATGATAAACTACATCAAACAGAAATATCCAGAACTACAGGTAGTTGGAGGAAATGGTAAACTCTCCTCTTGTGCTTCTGCATTTGTACCTTTTACTGTATTACCTTTCATAGCTCTTATCCGTATCTCTGTCCCCCTCTAGTGGTGACGGCTGCTCAGGCCAAAAACCTCATAGACGCTGGGGTGGATGCCCTGAGGGTGGGCATGGGCTGTGGCTCTATCTGTATCACCCAGGAAGGTATGTTGAAAAGTGCAGTCCTGTAAACAAACAGTGGGTTTAAAATAAACACAGATGAAACCAAAACAAGTTCGTAATACGAGTTCACGCTCCTGTCCCTCAGTGATGGCATGTGGACGGCCCCAAGGTACATCCGTGTACAAGGTTGCAGAGTATGCGCGACGTTTTGGAGTACCAGTAATTGCTGATGGAGGCATTCAGACAGTTGGGCATGTGGTGAAGGCTCTGGCCCTGGGAGCATCAACTGGTAGGTGCACATCCTTTCATCCTGGTGTGCGCCACTGTTTGCGTCATTGAGAGAGCATTCAAGGTCCTTGGGCACTCGTTCAACCTTGCCTGTTGTCCTTAGCAATACACAAAACGGCGTCCCTATATTTCTGCCCTTAGTGATGATGGGGTCGTTGCTCGCGGCAACTACTGAAGCCCCAGGAGAGTATTTCTTCTCAGATGGTGTACGTCTGAAAAAGTACAGGGGGATGGGCTCCTTGGATGCCATGGAGAAAAATAACAGTCAGAAACGTTACTTCAGGTGAGGGGTTGGGGTCATAGTTGGTCACAATGACACCTTAATATATTGCCCTGTATTGAATTGTGTTCGTGTATCCAGTGAGGGAGATAAGCTGAAGGTCGCTCAAGGTGTCTCGGGGTCAGTGCAAGATAAAGGCTCCATACATAAGTTTGTTCCCTACCTGATTGCTGGCATCCAACATGGCTGTCAGGACATAGGAGCCAAGAGTTTATCCATTTTACGGTAAGTGTGGGATGGCGTGCGGGCGTGTGTGTACCGTGTAAGGGACTTTAAATATGAGCTGTGTCTTTGCTCCAGATCGATGATGTACTCTGGAGAGCTGAAGTTTGAGAAGAGAACCATGTCTGCTCAGATGGAGGGAGGGGTCCACGGCCTCCACTCGTAAGTCCGACCTGTGACCCCTGATCCTCTGCAACGCCTTCTTTCTCCGTGTGTCTCTTTTCTGTGGTTCCCTGTCTGCTGTTAAAGTCATCGGTTATCAGCTGCTTCCTCTCTGAATGTTCACATATACAGAAACATAAATGAAATTGATTTTTGCTTAGCAGCATCAAAATGTGTCTTCTCTCTTCCTCTTTTCTTACCCACGCTGTCACATTAGATATTCTTTTGTACCATGTAAGTACAACCATGTTGTTATCACACCCCCCATCTTCTTTTTTCGTTCAATATTGCTTTCACGCCAGGCAAATATTATCTCAAAATAGTATATGCTTGCACTCTTCCATTTCTTTTTTCATGCTTAGTTACGAGAAACGACTTTACTGAGGCGGGAGGAAGAGGAAGCATCCGAGCGGAACCGAACATCCCGACCCCGGCAGCCATGAGCACTTGCACAGGGCGCATGTGATCAAACGACAAACGGAACAGCTGTTCTAAAACCTCAGGCTGCTTTTCCTGCGCTCTCCCCCCTTTCTTTTTTTTTTCTCTCTAATCTGTGACAGACAAAGCAAAGCATTGAGTCTAAAGTTCAAACCTCACATGCAGCCACACACCTTATCGTTATCTGTTGTTGCTGTGGCCGAGGTGCAGTGGAGGTGATGTAATTACTTGATCCCTTTCAACAAGCAAACGGATGTTTCTTCTTTAGGACTAGCTTATCATTGCTGATCTAACAGGAGGCCTTTTCCGTGGTTTCACCCTGATTGAGGCGACAATAAACAACAAAGTCAAATGCTTTTTCAGCAACAAATGACACATGACTCTGGCGTTAAATATTTAACATTTTAATTCCGAAATTTTTTTTTAAAAAGAGAAACATTAAAGAAGACTGTACACACCTTTCTGATTATAATAACATACATTATCCTCATTTTGGGTTCATACTGCAAATATGTCTAAGTCACATTGGCTTGACATGTTGGGATCATCCATTCTTCATAAAATATAAACACAGTATTAACTAATATTATAGCTATTGATTGTATGTAATATATAATAAAGGCGGTTATTGTATTTTTTCAGGTTGGTTATTAAAATAATTAAAATGTGAGTGAATTAAATAAAGCACACTCAGTGGGGAACAGTTGTAACAAAACAATTGTCCTGGATAGATTTCTTTCTTTATGGAGGTGTAGACAAAAAGTTGTTTCAAGTTGATTGATACGTTTTAAATATGTTTTTCTTTTTTCTTTTGTGTTACTCACCATCTTTGGTATAACAATACACAGTTTATTTTAATTTTGTAATGACAACCAATCAAATAACTGAGCTCATGTAGTGGTTGATCATGTTAGGGTTGATCAATGGTTTGACAGTCTGGTAATAGTTTTTAAATTAAAGGTTACAGATAAGATATAACTACTTTCTCACCGGTTTTAAAATGATGTTAATAGTGTTGCACAAATAAAGATAATTTTGACAACGGCGTTTTGATGCATTTCTGTTTAATTATATGAAGTGAAACTTTTGTTTTTCTTATCTTCCCTTGAAGTGGTATATATATATATATATATATATATATATATATATATATATATATCAAATGTAGCCACTTTCAAAAGTGTAGGATTATTGCAACTTTGATTGTAGTACTAACATTCCCAGGATACCCCTTAAATGGTTGACTGAGGAGGCAATAAAAAAAAATCATCCTGGTCTTATGTCTTAAGTTTATTACACCACACTGAAATACTCTATAATAATCTTATACATATATACCAAAATGCCTGTAGTTCCCATGATGAAGTATGTTTGGCAACTTTGTAGGCGAGGTGCTGATAAGTTGTTGCAAAATGTTGTACTTCAGCATCACAAAGAGCTCCCTTTGCTGAATTCATTTTTCAGAAGATTGTGTCCAACCAATCACAAGTCATACAGTAACTCATCCTTCTGAGCAACATTTTCTCCTATTGAAAACACAAAAGTACATCAATAGTACAGAGTTATTGTATTATTATTTTACTATGAAATATGGCCCTTTTATTAACTGAATGTCCCTTTCAATTTCTGTATACAGTTCAAATGTCAAAAGTTCAAAATGTACTGTAAGTTGTATAAATATTAAAACTGAGATGAACTGAAGACAGCATTTGCAAATAAAGTTTTCAACATACATTATACAAACCGTGAAATAATCATGGAAAATAATTTACATCTCCATATTGTATCAATAATATCAGTAATGTTCATTTATTTTATAAGTTAAGGTTATAATATACATGTTTATAACTTTTATGATGCATCTAGTATTGTTTCAGTACAACGTAATGTGAATTTTAATCATGACATGAACATGTATAACTTTCTACAATTCAATGGTGTCACTGCAAACACTCAGAGCGTCAATTTGTCTGCACACGTTGACAAACTCTGCTTGCACGGCCAGATCCCATTCCAGCTGTTTGCTCTCACTCAGATGTTTAGTACCGACCAGGCGGCCAGATCCGCAACCGTCCCGAGAGGCCAAGCTCAGGGTTCTGTACCGCCGGTGGTATGACAGGTGGGGGATTGCTCTGGGAAGTTTTGACCTCTATTGGTCCAGGAAAGTGAGCGGCACTTCCCCGTCTCCTTATTTTGTTTTTGGTTTGCTGCAAAGGCCTTGTGTCGAACCAGAGACGCTCTCCTTCCAATTCCATTGCTCCGGTGACACCGGTGACTTGCCTTGAGATGTCAACGAGCTGTTTGGTTTAGAAGGTCTTGAAGTGGACAGGCAGTTGTCTTGTTCCATGTCACCACAGGAGTTGGTTGGGTATAATGCTCTTTGCATAGAGCTGGGCCCTTGCTGTGATTCACCCTGGCTCGGAGAGCTCAAGGAGAGGCTGGAAGAAGCATGAAAGAGTCTCGGCAAACCAAAGATACTGTGAGAGAATAGGGATTCGCTGAACAGAGCCTGGTCAATGCTACGGGACAGGTCTATGAGAGATGGGGGCCGCAGATCCGCAGTTGAGTCCGTCTCCATTCTCAGGCTATCCAGTGACGACAGCTGAGACTCAACTGCGTTGTTAGGCTTGGACCGTGGGTTTGGGGGTGTAAGGAAAGCAGTGCTCTGGGTTTGGCTGGAATTGGGGACAAGCCTATTCCGAGGATGATCCGCCATTGGGAAAAGGGGAAGATCCTCTGACTGTTCCTTTGTTATGACATCACAGGCCACCAGCCTGAATCCAGAATCACGAGAGGAGACGACAGGAGAATCTGCACATCCCTGAGAGGGCTTGATGAGCCCTCGTGAATGGGACCCGCACGAGAGACGGGACCAAGATCCTCGCCGGGGGTTAGTTAAGGACTCGGTAGAAGAGTTGTTTTGGCAGAATAGAGGGAGTGAACCAATGAGAGACAAACCTAGACACACCCCAATCTCACAGAGCCTGCAGCCTACCTGGTAACCCCACCAGGGCCAGGGCTGGAAACCATAGGTATCAACCCCACCCAAACCGAGGGCATGCAGGATCCCATAAAACTGGAGGCCTCCACACCCTAACAAACACAAGGAAGCCCCTAATCCAGCTGCTGCTGCCCTATCCCAGTCCTCCACTTTGGAAAAGGGGTAACGTGAAGATGGCACCGCTTCAGGAGATCCTCCGCTCTCTCCAGTGTCATTTAGCCGGTACAGGTGCTTCGTGTTGAATTGCATAAAGCAGTAGAATACAAGGTAGGAGCTTGAGAGGAATATGGTGAGACATACAAACACACCCTGAGGGAATAGCAGGATCACCGAGGGGAGGCTGTGGAAGAGCTGAAGCAGGCCAACACAGCCTAGGGACACCCAGAATACAGCATGGACATACACAGTAACAGGTATGGCTTGGGAAAGGCTGAAAACAAGGTGGAATTAGCAAATGGGAATGAAAGATGCATACGTGAGCGAAGGGAAAGCAGGATAAAGGCAAGGGAGAAGGCTGAAATCAAGCAGAAAAAGGAAAGCTTGGAGAGCAGCAGAGAGCCCAGAGGGGGGAGACGATCTTGGTGATTATAAGCATCATAGAGCAAACAAAAAGCTTGAATCCCTTCGAACGCTAAAAGAAACAAGTGCAGCAGGAAGAAGTAGGGGCTTTCCGCGGGACAGCGCAGGGGCAACCCTAACAGACAAACCACAGAGATTAGGCCGAATACAGAAAAAACAGAACCCAGGCCGTAGACGTGTGCTTCCCATGCAAATCCCCACGTGGCGAGGGCAGAGTTCCAGTCCGAATACAGAGGGATGGAAAGGGCAGAGCCCAGGGTCAGATTGGGGCGCGGCGACTCGGTAGGGGTAAAGTCCTCTGGGTAGGTGGGTGTCCAGGACTGGACTGATGTTTTGCAGGGTGTGGCAGGTGTGTCTCTGCCGCCGTCACGCAAGAGCGTGCCACTGGTCTTTGGAAGAAGCACACCATTCTCCTTGGAGTCATCTGAAAAATCAAGCAAGATAAATTATAAAAGTATTACCAACGTATTGTGTGCCAAGGCTGAACACTTACAATGAACTTATAACCAAACCTTTTAATTGTAAACATGGGGGGAGCACGGCAACACATTCATATAATAGGATGAACATGCTTATCCTTTGAAACATAATGTCATGATATGCGTTGATTCCACTACTGGTGACGATGAAGTGAATTATACACAAAGTATAGAGTTGGTGAGTATTTGCCATGTGTGAAGTTAATCCATGATATAACAGAGGCTCGTAACTGGGAACCTCTAACTGGGTCACAGTGAGAGTGAGAAAGTAGTGGAGAGAAAAAATGTGTGTTGATTAGCCAGTATTGACCTCGTCGTTGCTCTCATTCTGCGTGGCTATTATTAAGCACAGTCTAGAGGCGTTAATATGTTGCATTCTTTCTACAAGAAAGGATACAACATATTTGCAATACATGTATCAAATGTCACATCTGACTAGGATTGTGTAACCATCTCTGTAACCAACCGTGTAAGCATCTCATTTTCTTGGTAAAATAAGGTTCAGAGTAAGCTGTGTGCCACCAAGCTCAGGTAACGTGTCCAAAGGTGCACATTTCAGATTGTCCACTACTACTGGAGGGATTTACTCAACAAAACTGCAAATGCGTAGCCAACCTGAGGAAGAGTATGTTCTCACAGACCAATGTCCAAAGCCCTTCTCCCTCTTTGCTTGTGGACACAACACACCATTTACTTTGACAAGTGCGTGTGTGTGTGTGTGTGTGCGCGCGTATGTGTGTGTGTGTGTGTGTGTGTGTGTGTGTGTGTGTGTGTGTGTGTGTGTGTGTGTGTGTGCAGTAAACACTGAATCTGCGGGTATGCAAAACATTATCCACCCACCTTTGCGCGTGGGTCGTACACACTGACTGAATATTGTAAGTCGCTTTGGATAAAAGCGTCAGTTAAATGACATGTAATGTAATGTAATGACTACAATGTTGTAACATCAACAAGATAGTGGACTTAGAAGTGGAGTTAGTTGGGGAAGAGGCAGATTGTGTTGACACTTATGAGTGCAATTTGAAATACTGCAGTCCCACATAGACTTAAGAGTCTTTTAGATTCTATTTTTGCTATTTAATGAGGCCAACACTATAGAGCCTATGATTCAATGCAGCCCATAAGTGACAGGCGTTACCTGTGATTTGTGGCAGGAGCTAATTAACGATGGATACTAGCAAATTAATGCAACTTAATTAAGGGCTTACCATTGTCTGCCTTCATGCCCGGGTTATCACCCATAATATCAATCAATTCTTCTCTGGTCCCTTTCACTGGGACTGTCCCGCCCTGTGCCCCGTCCTGCATGACAACAGAGGGTCCAGTGGTCCGTCCCCATACGGCTACTGGTGGAGTGGGGTGCTCGGGGTCGGGACGGGCTCCGGCGTACGGCGGCGAAGTGGATTTCGGAACAAGTGGAAGTGAGCCGGGGGAAGAGAAGCAGGCGGTCCGGCGGCCGCCTCATCCGGAGAGGGTGGGGAAGTTGGCTGATTCTCTTCTGACTGGTCGGACTCTAATATGGATACATTTGTCTCAGCTGGTTTGTACTTTAATGTTTGTCCCCGGGTGGAGCGAGGTGGTGCTCCTCCTGATGAAGACCTCGTTGGTTGTGCGCTCTCTTTGGATGTCTCATCCTTTGTATCAGAAAGTCTGGATATGATAAGCCCCTTCTCATTATGATACAAACGAGAGGTCTCTGTGCTCTCCTCGAAAGCAATGTCTTCATCGATTGCACCTTTTCTATCGGATTCCTCAGATGACGAAAGCGGCCAGCTCAGAGGGAGACCCGGGAAGTCAACATATTTATTCCCAAACATTGGATTGCTCGGTGCTAAACCAGAGCCATGTGGTCTCGGTGGTGGAGGTGTGCGACGCCGCGCTTCCGTGTTGTCGTCTGGCTGTTGTGCATCCCTGACATGTACTCCGTTGAAGGCTGCGACATGAAGTGAGAGCGGAAAGGAGAGGGGGAGAAGCAGACAGAGATTCCACAGAGAGTGCATGGCGAGGCTCTATAAACTTCTCCAAAAAGTCACATGCTGAAGGTTCTGAGCGGTATTGTCCAGTCCCAAGCTCGACGGGTTGACAGATCTTTAACCTCGGGCATCTCGCTGATCTCTTGCTTGACACACCTGGGTGAGCAAAAGAAGGTGAATCACATCCATCACACAGTCTGTGCAACCACTCATCAAACATTATGCATTGCTAGGATATTTTTAAGAAATTTAAGAAATAATTTCTGCATATAGGTCAATCACTAAAATGAAAATATGAAAGCATTCAAAACCTTGTTGTGCCCCTCTTCTCTCCATCAGTCGACACATGGGACGGACCCCACCTCCCCGGGGACAACCCCGCTGTCCCACTCTCTGCTGCTGCTGCTGCACTGATCCGACAGTCAGAGTTTGATTGTTTGCGCTATTCCGTTGCCCTAAATGTGAGGCATCATTCACACACACACACACACACACACACACACACACACACACACACACACACACACACACACACAGAGCATCATCTCTTACTGCTGGTTATGTTGTGAACTGTGTGTGAGGCTGTGGGAGTAGGAGGGGAGAGCAGGGGAGAGAAGAGAAGGTAGGGAAAAGGGCATGAATATAGTCATAGGGGCTAAAGCATAGTTGTCAACCATCAATGTGTGCCTTGAACCACCCAGTGCCGCAGATCAATACGCGCTGTCGACTTCAATTAACAACTGATGCAGTGCCCTTTCTCTTTAAGTGGCCGTTACTTAGTTGTTGTCACAAACAGTATACGAAGGAGAAATTTGTCTTTGAATGGCAGACATGCATTTTGCATGATAGTGGTTACGTGTGTGTACTTGAACTCATCATGCAGCACCTCTTTTCTCGCTTGTGTGTGGAGTTTCAACACAGAAGGAGAAATCCATCAGCCTCGACGCCTAATTGAAGTCCCGAGGGTGGTTCTGAAAATAGACACTGATCCACATGCCTTTGGAGGCAGGGAGAGTGAGAGGGATAAAGCACGGTTACACATCTGTGCCGTCTCTTCGGGGTTGAGTTCGCGAAGTGAAAAGTCCACCACTGACCATTGTTGAACTAGCAATACAAATGAGTATTGTTACTCTAGCATTCTGCCAACGGCGCATTGATCTTCTGCCATCCTTTTTTTATGAAGATATATTTTTCACAAAGCCATAAAGGTGAATTCTCCATGCCTAGTTGGCTGTGACCCTGAACAACACGGCCAACAATAAAGATTTTAATTTTGCAACTGCAAACATAGGGTTGGGATGAAAAGGAATCGAAAGGCAGTGAGGCCTTTGATAGATGGTCATTCCATGATGAAGATAGGAACTTCCCGAGGGGCGTGATCAACTGGCTGATGAGGACACAGGAAAGCACGTACCCAACCGTGACTAAAGGGACTGGATAGGAACAATGACAGGCCAAACATATGAGCTCAGTGAGGGACATGGCCAAATTATTACCGCCTCACACTTGCTGTCCTAATTCATTGGGCGGCTTTCTGTTTAGACGAGTCATCCCCCTACAAGACAAAGTCAGCAGGGATTGGCGTCCAGCTGCGACCGAGGGAAGTCAGGGCAAGACACAGAAACGACAAGCAAAGAAGAGGGTGAAAAACAAGCTAAGTCAAACTGTAATCTTTGTGTTATTCCAAATCGTATTATAAACGCACTTTTTTTAGGGTTGGGAGGCTACCACACAGACAAAATTGTAACCACATCAACAAATACAACAAATTAGTCTCAATGCTACCTGAGTCAATTCTGGGGTTTTGGTTTCAGCTCGTTTCCTGTTTATTTGTTTACTCGTGTCCCGTGTTTACCTCACTTCTGGCCTTTGCTTGTTTTATCGCCTTTGTAATTGTATTACTCACCCCGGATTGAATTATCAACGCTCTACTCACCATCTGTGTGTTGGTATCGCTTGTTCACACCTCAATTAACCTAATGTTTTGTGTTGTTTTGCAACGTTCCAGTTTTACTCGTTGAACTTTTTCCGTTTCTTATTTTTGATATTCCGTAGAGTGTAAGTTTTATGTTATACAATCAGAATTTTATAATGTTGACACCAACGCCTATAGACCTGTTGGATCTGTAGGTGTTCAGTTTTAAGAGTAATAGACATGCTCGCTTAACCTAGAATGAAATTACACTTGAACTATAAATGCATAGTAATAATGGGTGAAGACCACTTAAAGGCCGGATTGCACGAAGAAATTGTGTTTCAAGGCACGACACCAGCACACAAATATGTTGGAAAAAGATCCAGCACTATCTGGGTCAAATGCAGTTCAACAGTAAGCACCTGTTCCCCATTTTAGGAATAACATGTCCATACCTGGAACTGCGGCAAGCACTCATATGCAAATCATCTTGCAGAGCATCTTGCAAACATCCTGATATGTAGAACTCATGAACAACGGAAGGCGTGATGATCCGAGAGCCCAGAGGGATGGACATGCCTGTGCTCCAATGGGGCTCTCCGAGGGATCTAAGCAGGAGCCGCCTCCATCTTAATAACCAATCAAAAATGCTCTTAGAGACTATATAATTTCAGCGCATTTTGTATTAAGCGCCTTCTTTCATGTTGTTGTTAAACTGCTTGAAATAGGTCCGTGCACGTTAAACTGCAGGACAGAATACTCTTGTTGCAAATAAACTTGTCATATTGCTTTGAGTAAAGTCTCCAGTCTAGTCCTCGCACGACATGCAGGGGGTCCGGGAGTGGGTCGGTGAGGGTTTTTAGGTGAGACGGGACTAGCGGTTCAGACATTTTGACCATATCGGTGACGGCGACAGGTCTGTAGTCCTGAAGTCCTGTGATCCTAGGTTTTTGGGGGGATGGGGATGATGGTGGAGGCCTTTGAGCAGGCTGGTACGTGGCATGTCTCCAGGGAGGTACTGAGGATGGCTATGAACACAGGAAGACAGCTGATCACCACAATGTTTCAGGGTGGAAGGGGAGACAGAGTCCAGGCCGGCCTGGAATTTTAAAAGCCTGTCCCAGTGAGGGTCGTCACTGGGGAGGAGGGTGGGGAAGGTGCTGGGAATGAGCCCCTGATGGGCTGGAGGAGGGGGGACTGGTGGCTTGGAGCTGGTTGATGGGAGTCAAAACTGTCCCATTGTCTTTCAAATCTACAGTAGAACTCATTCAGCTCATTAGCCAGGTCGGAGGGCGTAGTCGACGAGGGGGATCGTCGGGTATCATGTGGAAGGCGCTCACTCACACAGTGGCTCACTCACCAGAACCAGCAAAATCAAACTTGTATGAAATGAATGAGAATGGCCCGCAGGATAATATTTAATTGCCGTTCTCCGAAAATTTGGCTCCACCCACTGAGCTATCTGTTGTGATTCCTACCACAGATTTACTGGCAACCGCCAGAGATATGCCATCGCGTGCCAATGCCAGAAGAATGATCTGAAGAATGAAGCAGAGTCACTCGCTGAGAGCTGGCAGTTTCTCAAGAATACAGTGGCGGCTCTTACTGACTTGCCAAACCTACATTTGGCTCCTCTGTACAGGTCATTGTCCCCACGGGACAGGCCCCGCTTATTGAGGCGTAGCAGGGATCCAGTGTGTTCGCCTCTCTGGTTGGTTGTTTAATAAAGTGTTTGTATTTAATCAATAATTGATATTTCCACTCACCACCCCATTCTAAATCATGTTTCACTGTTTATGTCAAAATTGCTTGAATGATTTGATATTTTATGAATAAATAAATATAATCTGATTTCATGTATCTTTAAATAATGTACAATGTGTACATTTTATTAAGACATTCTAAACACACACGTGCCATACTGGTTTTTTTTTTAAACCTTTTTTCCCACGGCTCCATGCTTTCACGGCTTATCCCGTTTTTAACGTCACATTGCAATGACATCTGGGTAATTCCCTTGAACCGGTTCATACAATGGCCCGAGACCCCTTTAAAACACTTCGATGAGACCACAAGACAGCCAGCGGTGGCGCGCGAGTCAGAGTGCGCGAGGAGGCAGGTTGGGTCCCTTCCTCCGAGGTTCGCGTTGTTAATGTCCGAGGAGCTCAGCGGTTCTGCCGAGAAAGTTGCGACCGAACCCAACCCCCCTTCCCCCACCCAATCACACGAAGCAGCAGGAGGAGGAGGAGCGGACGGGGCGAAGGGGAGATGTTGAGGACACTTTCTGTGGAAAATCACTGACCTTTACCGCCGCGAGCACTTTTCAAACCGGCGTTACACCGCCAGCATTCCCGGGTAGAACATACAGGTATGGTTAGGTTAGTTACTCCTCTTATCGGCGAATTTAACTTTTAATATGACGATGCGCATCTTGAGCTGACTTTAAAGACGTCCATCTGCTCCGTGTTAACTAACGTTAAGTAAAGCCTAAGAGGAGCTAGCGTAGTACTTTACGTTACTGTCGACATCTTACTGCAATTATCTTCCTGCAATTGATGCGTGTGTTTTTTTTGTTCGTTGTTGTTTTAATTCATTCACGTCCTCTGTTTGTTTCTGTCACTTCCCCCCCTGACCGTGTGGAGGCGGTCGGGCAGCTAGCGGTAGCCGCCAT